ATCAATCTTTATGAGAGGTTTTGCTGCTACTATAGAATTTTTGATAGATATTGGTAATGATGCACCTAAATCTTACAAATTTACTGGACAATTGTTTTGTGGTGCACGACTTGATTCAAGGGATGTATCAGATTTGCTTAAACCTTTGTCGGATATAGATGATAAAGGTCTAGAAAAAGTAATGGATGGATATTTAAATGCATTAAAGGTCGACTCGGTATTCTGATTTGGACGCTTTTCAAGATATGTAATAATGGTAAGATTTTAACGTATAACTGTTTAATTAAACTTAGTTTAGTTTATTTAAATTATTATTAAAAAACTTTATAATATATTATAATTTGGCTTAAATTTAATATATGATTTATCCCTTAATTTGTAATACAGGCAAATTTGCCTGTGTTTATTTTTTTTTATTTTTTTTTTATTTTTTTATTATTTTTTTATTATTATTATTATTATTTTTATTATTATTATTATTATTATTTTTATTTTTATTATTATTAAGATAGCTTATATTGCTAAGTAGATTTTATTAATTTAATATATAGGGTTATACATAAGTTTCTTTTACAGTTTGTGATTACATAAGGAGTGCACAACAAGCTACACATACAATTTTAGTTATTGTTTATTTAAGTTGTTTGCTACATTAGTAGATTATCTGATTGGTTTTATATAAATTGTTATACTTATAACTTCATAGTTAGATATTTGTTTAATTAGCTAATATAAATTAATTGCTTAAATAATTTATTTATATACTTTAAAGTATTTCTTGAAAATATAACATTTTACTAATAAAAAATCATTATAAAAATTATTTTTTATTTCAAAAGAATTTTATATTTATTAGATAAAAAAATAAAGCAATTTCTATTTGTACACTATGTGTATATATACATAGTAATACAAAATATAAAAAAAGCTATAATGAAAACAAAGAAAAAAAAATTAATATTTGACAATATCTCAAAAATTCACTTATGAAACTGCCTTTGCAGCTCTAACAAAAAAAAATTTATTGCTAAATTTTACATATACATAACACTTTGCTAAAATATCAAACTTTACTCTCAACCTCAACAAAGTTTAAGCATATAAAAATAACACTCTTAATAACAAAGCTAACTCACTAGCACAAAACTACGAACATCTCTAATATCTCATACTCAACTACTCTAATATCTACAATCCATACTATTATATTAAATGACAAAACTTTCTAGTAGAACAACTAATATGCAGATTTGTTAAAAATATATGCAATATACATATTATTGCAACATAGGTATTACTGAATAGAAACTAATTCTAGAATTTAGTTGCTAACTAGATCAACTAGAACTCAACATAGCTATACATCAATAACAACAACAAAAGATTATATAATTTTACTAACTTCATATTAAGCAAATTTAAAATATTTAGAATTAAACTTCTATATAATGAACTTCCTACTCCAACTCATCTTTATACTTTTTATCCTAATACTATAGCTAACAGATGTTTTATTTGTAATAAAGCAGACTATGAACTATATTGATATTATGCTTCAATGCAACTCTTCTTCTTCAAATTATTCAATAATTAATCATACAGCTACTAAACTTATCTAACTTAGAAATTTCAGAACATGAACTTAACACCCTTAACAACTTTATAACAAACTACCACTCACTACAATTACTCTCTCAACTTCACAATTCTATTTCTCTACTCTCAAAAGACTGATACTATACTTACTAATTAATACTATCAAACCCTTCGTTAATACTTTACAAATAGTATCACAAATCATAATCAAACTACTCCTCAAACTCAACTCACAAATATATGAACTAATTTGAAAACTATACTGTACCCAATTTGCTTAATAGAAAAAAGCAAACAATATTCAAATTCTACACCTCCAAACTCCTAAACCTAGAAAAAATAGAACAACAAATCCACAAACATACCAACTCACATCTACATATAGCTGTATTTGTGGGCTTGCTGACCAACTACATCACAATAACCAGTGTTCGCCACAGGGTCTGGCAATTAGGAAGGTAGCTAGATAGGAAGCTTACTAGGCAAAATATGGCTATTCAACTAATTCAATTTTATCCAACTCAATCTAGGTGAGTCTTGACCACTCTAGTAGGTTTAGGTCACAGATTACTGTAGTTGTAGCTAGTTTTAATATAGTTAATATTATAGTCATCTGAGTTTTAATTCTTGCATATAATATATAACCAAGTAGTTCATTGTTAATTCTTAACTATATAATTATTAATAAAGATAAAAACAAGACCTCACCTTGACCACAAGGTCAAAATTAAAAAAAAAAAAAATTTTTATATTAGATATAATATAGTATAATCAGAAAGCTTCAAATAAATTATATGGCAACTCAAATAAATAACAGTCAGACTCAATATACAAAGCAGGCTTTTGAGTTTAGCACAGCTATAAGAACTGAGTATATAGTGAGTATATATAGAAAATCTTCTAGTGCTTCTGATTTCAACAGCTTTAAAACCCTTTAAAGCACTAACCTGCTACAATATCTTCCTAAAATTCTACAATATAAATCTATTAAAAAATGAGCAAACTATCAGATCTTTTATAAAATATCTAAAAGAAAAAAAATTCATAAAACTAAAAAGATTTTCTATTAATAAACAACTCAACAAAGCTCATATATACCTTCCTTGTAATGACAATATTCTCTCAAACTATATACTACTAAATCTTTTTATTCTCCTCCAATACTACAATACTCTTCTTAGAACTTTTACAAATTTAATAATTTCTAATTTTGATGATAACTTAAATATCTCTAACTCAACAAACTTCTCAAATAATTCTAACTTACAAACAACTACTAATACTAATACTAACAATACTAATAATTTACTTTCTCTTAATATTATAACTCACAATATTAGAAAATATAACAACTCTCTCAAAAAACAACTATAGAAAGATTTTTGTCTTTTTTACAACTACAACATTATTAGTCTAACAGAAACCAAACTCACTAATTCTAAATCAAAATATTTTAATACTTAATACTTCATATATTATCTGTTAAATTCTACTTTTTCAGTAGAAGGAACTAGAATCATGCTCTCAAATAACTTGACACTACATATTTACAAAATTCTTAAAAATAAAAAAGATACAATTTCTATTGATCTTTTCTTCAAACATAACTTTAAATTCAGAATAATTTCAGTATATCTATCTTCTACTAATATATTATAAAGAAACTCAATACAAATTAAAGTCAACTAATCGATACAACAAGTATTTAGTCAACAACTTTATCTAATAGTACTTGGTAACTTTAATATAGATATCTCAACAACAAACTCAACAAGTTCAAAATTCAGACTTGTTAACTTCTTTACAAGTAACAACTTATATGACTTCACTAATCATATGTCTAATATATTCTATACATAGTATAACAACTAATCACAAACTAGAATTGACTATATATAGTATTATAAATCTATTATGCCATACCTTCAAAAGTTTAGTTTAGAGAATCTATTAATATCTACACAAAGTGACCATATGATACTTGTATCTTCATAGTTATTCTTTTATGCTAACTTAAATTATAAACAAAAATTTAAAGCAAATAAAAAGATCTTTGATTATAGCTCTATAAACAAAGAAACCTAGGAAGAATTTGCAAACTAAATCAATTATAATCTTAATTAAAATAATATTCTACTTGATATAAATCTTACAATTCTCTCAAAACATATTAGCACAAAATTCAAACAAGTATTATGTCTGCTACTCTTAAAATAATACCTAACAAAAAAATTAAATTTCAGAACTTCTATTATATTTATTTACAAAAAGCTACACAACTCTATCAAGCTTTAAAATTAATAAAACAAACTATTTGCCAAATTAAATATATCTATAATAACAAATTTCTAATTTCAACTAATATTCTATCTTTAATTAACTCAATTAATCAACAACAAAATCTAAATATTTACAACTTTCCTACTAATAATGATGAAATTCTAATGTAGTTTAATAATCTATAAACATATTAGAAAACTTTACATAAAGCTTGAGAAATAGAAAACTCATTATATTATTACAGAAAATGTATTCCTAAGCCTTCTTATATACTAACTATAATAGGGACACAGCTATCTAGAGACTTTAAGAAGCAGTGTCAAAGAGAAAGATATAATTCTTATATCATTGAAGAATCATACTCATCTCTAAAGAGGCAGTTCATTTATAATAGTTTATAATCGATATATTTTATTAAAGATAGATAT